TTTTTTCAAATTTATATTTTATTATTGATTTTTTTAAAATACATAAAATCGTATTATAATATCGATAGAAATAAAAAATAAAATAAAACATTAAAATCGAGATTTATCTCGCTGCATTACATGAATAGCCTTCTAATTTTATGTAAATTTATCATTACGAACGTTTCATTTTAAATGATAAAAGACGGAAAACATGAGATATTACCGATTTGGCCGATGAAGGCTGTGTCAACAAGAGAAGCAATAGGATCAGCTGTCAAAGCAAGTGCTGCTGGCAATGCAATTTTTGCTATTTCCACACCAAGCTCATCCATTTTCAATGCTAACCTGCGCAACTCCACGTTTTCACAAAATTGCGAAATAACGCTATTAAGTTATGTTTTAATATTTACGGCGTGTAATTTAGATTTTAAAATTTCTAAAACACGTCTTAAAAAATCTATTTTATATTATTTTTTTCATTAAATTTTATATTAAAATATGTTTATTTATTTACTCGATTCATGTTTCGCTTTCTTCATCGAGATTATTGCACGTCCAGGAACGTTTCAATCTTTTTGGGGGCATTGCTACATTCAAATTTTTTGAGTACATTGTATAAATGAGATATCAAAGAATATATGTTAAAGAACAAAAATGGATTAAACCTAAAACGATTAACAACCTGAAACTAAACCTAAAAATGATTTTTTTATTTTTTTTATTTTGTCTTTATTTTTTCTCAATAAAGTTTTTGTTACCTTTCAAAACGAAAATACGCTTATTTTGCTTCTATATTCGTCACTATGCTTTTAAAATTGGAACTTTCATCTATGAGGTTTACAATTGATTATTGTTTTCGTACCTTTAGTTTACGCTTGTTTGTTGTTTTAGGAGTCAGACTGAAAATAACGATAAATTACAAACTAATATGAATTAAAATCGCAACTTCAAAACCATGGGGATAAAATTCGTAATTTTTAACAAACCATAAAACTAAAAACATAATTTATCAAGACAAATTCCTTGCAGCCGACACCCTTCCAAAAAAAACTTAACACATAATTTAGGGGTTGTTTACCCAAATACTTACCCGGTAAACACTTACCGGTAGAAATCAACACTATAATCTATTTTACCGAATAAGATTATAGTACATTAAAACGGTATCATATGCAACAATTTACTCGGTAAACGTTTACCTGGGTAAGAGTCATCGACATCACTTACCGGATAAAACTCTCTATCCTTATCATCGCTCTTACTCGGAAAGTTACCCGATCAACACTTACCGGATAAGTGTTTAGTAATGATTAGAATTATCATTCACAAAAATAATTGATTATTTACATTGTTATAAAATAAAAGTCACCTGGCATCTTTGAAGAAAATGGAGATATCAAATCTCGATCGTCCATCACTTTCGTCAGCCATAACCCCTCGAGGCTTGAATGAATTGGAGGGCAAAATTGTCAATTCCTATTCAAAGAAAAAGCTTCTCCATCCATGATTAACCTGCAAAAAACACAATAGAAATGGGATGAGAAATTAATGAAAACAAAACGCAGACACGGAAGAAACATGAAAAAAGACGATAAAAATGAATAACGTTCATGCACACACTCTTTACACATCTTACCTTTAGATTATCATACCATTTTGGCAACAACCGTAGCTACCATCACAACACATCAACAACAACAACAACAACAAGAAGTTGTAAAATCCAATACAAACAGAGAACCTTAATTTTAAGATCTGATCAAAACCCACATCTGATCTGCAATCGGAAACGACAACACCACCAAGTTAAATAACACTCATGTGCAAGTTGAGAGAACCATGAAATTAAACATATATATATATATATATATATATATATATATAATTACTTTGAAGATGGATGGATGTGATTAATAATTGAAGTGAAATGAAGGGGTGGAAGAGTTTATGAAGTTAAAAAGACAAAGACTTTGTAACAAATTTGAAGAATTAATATGAAAAGGAATTCATGGCTGAAACTTGAAAATGTGTCTTTTCCACATCAATGTCTCAACCACGAATATAAAGAGAGTGACCAAAGTGCTCATTGGCATTGCTACTAGACGCTTGTACTCATTTTTTCCATTTTTACTTTTTGATAAATTATATGGTTAACTTTTCATCTTTTAATGATTCAGAGGTTGTCTTCTGATGGAATTATTAAGAAATAAATAAATAATTCTTTAAGATTTTCTATCTTTATTATTATTTTTTAAGATAAATAATTTAGTTAAAGCTAAACCATTAAGTATATAGTTTTGTCTCTTTTAACTTCAAATTGATGATATAATTATTATGATTTAACATAAAAGTATTATTCATTTGTTAGAACCGGATGTATCTGAAAAACTGAAACAAGAAATGAATGTGTGTGTCACGTGTTAGGGGTGTACCCCAATTGACACACATCGTATTTGAAATGATGGTGTAATCACGTTCGATATGGTTTAGGAAAAAATCCCACATGTCGATTGTACTTTGTCCATTTTTTTTATCTGTTCAGTAAATATAATTCATTACTAGAATTTAATGTAGGTTTAATAGTAAAATTATAAGTTATTATATCAATATATATATGTAACATCATTTTAAACGATATGAAGACTCTTCATATAAAAGTATATATTAAATGAATATTTTAAATTTTAAATAATATTATCATCTACATAATTAATAAATAGAAAATTGCACGAAAAGATAACGTATTTTAACTTGATTCCTATTTTGAGTAACTTAATTTCAAAACTTTCATTTTGATACTTAAGATGTAAAATTTTAAACATTTAACTACCCGGGTAACCGGTTACCATGCTGATGTGGTGAGTGATGTGATATTCAATACAATATTATTTGTTATTTAACTCAATTTCATCTCATCACTCATCACATCGACATGGCAACTGGCTAATGATTCAACCGATTACCTAAATACTTAAATATTTAAAACATTATATCTTAGATATTAAAATAAAAAATTTAAAAATATATTACCTAAAATAAAAATCAAATTATAATACATAACTTTTTCACTATTTTCTTAGTCATAAAAGGAGGGGAAATCCCAAAAGCATCACCGTCTCATTAATAAAAAAAACTTCAAGCGGTGCATGGTGACAAGCGTTACTCTCTCTCCCTCCACCTAGTGACGCGCGTCATATATATTCACATAAAAGCGGTGATTTATTTTTATGAAAAAAGTCTAAAAAAACTCAACGAATTTTAATGATTGAAATGATTAAGTTTTTGGATAATTTTTTTAAAATAAATAAATTTTTGGACATTTTAAAATATGTTAAATAACTTTGTGGATTTTCTAAAACCTGTTAGATACATTCTTATGACCTATACAATTAGTTAATATGGTAAAATAATAGAAAAAGTCCAAAAAAAACCTAATGAATATTCAAATTTTAAACGATTAAGTTCCTAAATATATAAAATTAAAAAATATATATATATATATATAATATATTTAGATATATAAAATTAAAAAATTATAACACA